AAGCGCACACAGTAAGGTTTCCAGTACGTCAGATGGATCAGGATGCAGTGAAGCTTGTCCAGAAATCAGTTGCAATGATACAGAGCATGCTGCGTGGAGAGTAAGGGATATAGTACCTTAAAATGGGGTAACTTTGACCACTTTTTTTTCATAATGATGCCATTTTTTTACTAGATAAGTTAAACTTAAATTGAAACATGCAAAATACAGGTCTATACTCTAGCTTTACTCACCATAAATTGCTGGCTCCTGCCTCTCATAGTTTTGATGTACAGCAATCCCTTGATTAGCACGGTTTTGAATACCGCGGTTTTGATTAACGCGCAAAAAAAATTTGCGACCTACCCTTAATCTACGCGGTGCCAGTTTTGATTAGCGCGACTTTTTTTCACAACGCATCATTTTCCCGCCTACAGCAATCCCTTGATTAGCACGGTTTTGAATACCGCGGTTTTGATTAACGCGGAAAAAAAATTTGCGACCTTAAAATGAAAAAATTGGAGGGGGTACTCTGACAGGCTTTAAATAATAGCTCTTTTTTGTGGGTCACATTATTAATTTTTTAACCTATTAGATATGCAAACTTTTTAAATTTTTCTATTGTGTTATGTAGCCTCAGTATTAGGCCTTTGATGGCCATTGACAACATTTTTCTATGTCAAATTGTTTTTGAGTTTTGGGGGTTTTTGTTAAAAAAATGAAAAGTGGTTAAAGTTACCCCGCCGGTCAAAGTAACCCCATTTTACGGTATCAAAGTTCTTATTTGTTAGCAACATTTTCTTCTTGAAAATTACCAGGCTGGCAATCTAATTATCTTGAAAATGGCTGGCAACGCTTTGGGCTAAAAATCCATATATTGGCAATGCGGCTTGCACCCTCTGCACCCTGGCCTAGGGAAGTTAGGAGCATGCTGGCCAAAATTGTTGCACCGTAGCACATGCCCTAAAGTGGGAGTGCAAATCCTGGCCAACTAGACAAGAGCACCTCAACACCAAAATCATGATAATTGTTTCCACATACCAGCATACTAGCCTTCTTGCCTCAAATTGTACCTCCCTCCCCCCCATCTCAATCATGGAGTGCTCTGGCAGTTGGGGTGGAGCCCAGGTTTCATAGTGTGGCACAAGAGTCGTAATATTATCTCAAGGGTCATCTAGTCATTGAGCATCCATATGCCAGTCCTTGTCGGTAGGTTTCATCAGTCGTTCAGTAGCTTAACAATGAAAATGCTAGATGTTGATAAGGAGATAACTTTTAGTCTGTGTACATTGGCTTGTTTATATGCAACAAACTTCATGGATAATGCATTAATGGTTTATTTTTTTCTAACCAGCAGTGCCTTCTTTACTCCTGAACTTACTGCTTCTCTGATCCATAAATATTGTGGGTAATCAAATAAAAGCTTTCTCTAAAATACAGGGGACTTTCTTTTCTCATAACTGCTTGCTCAGTTTTAAATACTCCAATACCAAAATGACCAGCTCTAAACTCTATTTAATATATAGCTGCTTGCATTTGACGGATGCAAGCCACTCATGAATGCAATTCTCCAGTTATGAAGTGAAAAAAATAAAATTGCAAAAGTGCACATCTGTTGTTCACCCCTGTACTGCAAATAGAAGCGCTAAACATTCCTGAATAAGTCATCACAGAAATTCACGAAATTCAACAAATAAAATGATCTAAATGTAAAAATCATAATTAGTATTGTTAGGGGCCATCCCCTCTAAAGACTAAAGGTCAGCAGTCCAGACTCCAGCGGGTATAGTACCAGCTCATGAAACCTAGCAAAACCAACTCAGGGGAACAAATGGAGGAAGAACCAAGCAAACATATATATAATAGACTCAATGGTACATGAAGATGAATGGTGAAAGTTATTTTGTTAGAAATGAAACAGCCCAGGCCTATGAATGATGGGGTGAACCTAGCATAGGAACACAAATATCCAGCAGCCCAAGCTGGATTGAACAGAACAGAGTAAATAAGAATAACTGGTATATGAACAATACTGGGCCAGGATAATAATGAGTGAACTAAATCAATTTAAAATAACAAAAGAGAAATAAAGGTCTTGAAAATTGGTCCTGGGTGATCCAACAGGCAATGTCCATAATGAGGGGGAAACAAAAGAAGGCAGTTGTCTTACTTGTGAGAAGTCTGGGAGACTAAACTGGCAGGGCACAGAAATAGTCTCTAGACTACACTGACTGGTATGGGAGAAGCCCAAGCCCTGGTCCCCAGCTCAGCATGGGATCTACTAACCCCAACCTGGCCCAGAACATGCTCCAAATTGGCCTCTCTGCAAAAGTGCAGGAACCCGCACATTAGGGACCATCACAACCACAGCATCCCTCTAAAAAAATACACACACATACAACAAACAAATACAAACCGTACAACTAAACAAATAATATCATAAGCAACACATACCAAATTCATCAATCACTTTAGCGCAATCTTTTCTCTCCACAAACACACCAATTCACTCACTTCAAACAACCCCACCACACACTCTCCATCATTCACATAATACAATATATTCGCACACTCCCATGTCTTATCACTTATCAAAATAATCAACACTTATCAAAATAATCAATCTAGAATAGCCATCAATACAATCGCAACACTTGAATCTTCATCACTCATCAGTCACGCCAATATATCTCAAGAACAATGGCTCGCGTTTCCCAATACTAAACTCTATAATAGCCCTCGGTAGTCCAACAAAATATCGCCCACAAAAAGCATATTCCAATACCCACAGGCATAATTCAAATCTATCCAATTGCAGCATCAGGCACATTATGAGTAATTGGTTTTTAATTTTTTTCTTGAAAAAATTCATAATGATAACCCCCTCAAAAAAGTTCCCCCAGGACATGCTCATGGTCCCTATATGCTCGAAAAATTTCTGGGCGGCAAGTTGAGCAGTTCTCCCAAAAAAATGCGGGGTAAAAAAAAATTTTTAATTGAGTGGACATATACATGTTCCGAGATAGCCCAAAAAAGTTTATGGCATACCTGCAACCATGCTCAACATGTGTGCAGAGTTTGCCACCTGTGACTTTTGTCTTGGCCGAGAAAAACTCATTTGAAATTTTCCCCACCCCGCCGATGGGTAGAAACTTAAAAAAAAATCGACCAAAAATGTCAAAAAAACGTTTTTTCCGAATTTTGAAATTTTTTCAACGCCATATCATAAAAGAAGTCTGGAGATGATTTTTCATCTAAATAAACGTTCCTGTGAGATGCACGGATTTTGAGTTATTTCGCCTTTAATTTTTGCCAAAAAGTCTAAAAATCCCTTTTTTTCGAATATTTTGCAAGCCAAGCAGGTTTTCGAGAAATTGCTCGAAATAAACCCCCTATTAACTTTTAATTTTAGACTATATGACGTGAAAATTTCCTCTCTAGCTTCAACCGTTTGGCCTCCACAGAAAACTGGCAAAAAATTAAATCGGCTTTTTCCCGGCGGAGGAAGGTCTCATGGGACCCTTGATTTTTTTCAACATTAAGCTAGGGATTCTCTACATTATTATCATATTTGCGACAGTAAGAATATTCACGGGTCTCTTCTTAAAAAATCCCAAAAATTTGTTAAATTTTTCACTTTCACCCCCCTGGGGGACGCATTTTTGAGGGGATCAGCTCAGAAATTTCCAGAAACATGCCCCACATCAGGAGAAGAAAAGGAGCCGAGTTTGAAGCGCGTGCATGCAGCGGCTGATTTTTTATGAATTTTTCAAGAAAGTCCCCTCTCTTGGGGATTGGCCACTTCCCCATGGGGATTTTCGGGAATCTGACTCCTGATTCGTCAATAGGAAATCGAGCTCTATTATGAGCCAAAATTTCAGCTTCCTGGCAGGCCTGGAACATAGAAAATGCTACCAAAAGGCTACAAATCGTGAAAGATACTAAAGAGGGCCAGTAGACCTCGTCCTCGTCCAGATCCGATTTCTGGCCTAGGTGCGGGATTTTGTTTTAGTGTTTTTCTTCGAAAATTTTTTCGAGTCCCGACACGTGTAACAAGAACACATAAAACCTACCCACAATAAAACACTTGAAACTCATGAATACACATTGAACTACCTACTGCTAAACTCTAGAACAATTTTAAGGGTGGTTGATGCTATATACAGACAGTTAATAATTAACATTTAATACTGAGATGCATGACAAGAGTATTCCCTATACTTACCTATTTAAGAGGCATGATATTCATAGCAGGTCAGTGATAGATCTGCATGGCAGTAAATAACCAGGAAGCAGGTTTGTTTATAGCCAGTAAATCAGTGCAAAATAGATGAAAGTATACCTACATTATGCACAGGCATGAGTAGGTTTTGCCAGTTCATGTGCAGCTCCTACTTTATCATATTCTTTGAGAAGGACTTTTAGGTTGACCTATTGTTTGAATTTATTTTTCAATATCATGTATTTTAGGTAAATTTGGAATTCTGAAACTACTATTTCCTGGACTATTTGTTAAATTTGTCTGAAATCCTGCAAATCTGTAGTTATTAAATTTAGATTAATTATATCTCATTGCTCTTAAGTTGGAAATTTTAGTTCAATACAAAATTTAGGAATTTTAAACTTTGGTAATAAACTAAAATTAAATTTTTGTACAATTGAGCTCTGAATTACCTGCATATTGACTAAAAATCTTATATCAACTTTAGTGTATAATTTGTGATGACATTATATGCTCTATCAGATGTTTAATGTATTAAATTAAAATCAATGATATTAATTTTGTGAAAAATATGTCAAATGTCCAGTAAATTTTCATATTCAGCAATTGGATCTTTGGAAGAAGGTTTGCTTTGTGTCAATTTTTTTTTTTTTATACTGTAACTCACATAATCATTTGAAGTTGCTTCAATTAAAAAAAATTATGAAAAATATTTTTTCTGGAGAACTAATTGTGATGAAATACAATTTTTATTCTTCACTGCAGATACCAAGATTTCAAATAGATTGATTGGCTTCAGCATCCAAAATTTAGAAAGTTAAACCATTACGGTATATCATGGCAAGTTTGTGAGCGAAATGAAAAATGGTCATCTGGCCTAAAATGGTATAAGAATCTATGCCAAACTCTTTGAAGTTTCATCTTAAATGTAATGCTAATAAATTATGTATAGGTGTGCAGTCAGACCTCATTGTTCTGGAACTAATATCTCACCCCCGGTGAGCTCTGCCGACCATGTTACCTCCATGGCTGGCAGTCAACATGATGATTCTGCTGCTCATGGTATGAGTGCTGCGGGAAGAAACGGCTCTAATAAACCTCCTCTTGTCCCACCCACTTGTGCTCCAGCACAGTTACATGCTGGACCCTCCAGAAACCATTTATCTTCTTTTTCTGACTATTCAACCATGGAGAAATTGGGAAAAGACAGAAATGGGTAAGAAATATATTCATTATTTCTATTATTATTAATTTATAATAATTATTTCGTCTAAGAAATATAGAAATGTATGTATAAAATAGATAACACATTTGAATACCCAAGTATTTTTTCATATCAGGGCCCAACAAGTGTTCCATATCGTTAGATTTTTCAGCGCATTTTTATAATCTTTATCCAGAAAATCTAACTCAAGAGGAATCTTCTGATGGTATTAAAAATTTGAAACATAATTTATATGTCATTTTCCTCCTGACTGTTATGCATTTTATTTTATGAATGGCAGAGCCTCTGCTGTTCCTTGTCTTAGTGATGACGGCAACGTAGGTGTAACCATCACCAGCATACTGGAGCTTCATCACAATTGCGCTGTGGTTATTGATGCTTATATACAGGTAAGTCTCTCAAAATTTTGTTCTGACTTCTTTCTGATACATTAAGATTCATTTAGAATGATAAGATCAATTTTTCAATCTATTGATATATCAATGCTTTGATTTGTTGAGAGATACCTCCTATGAACATTCTGTTGAAACTTGAAAATGCTCATTTATAAATCCAAGATTATTTCATACTATGTAGCTTGATTTAATTTGGTATAGATGTCATATTTTTGGTTGTTTTTACCATTATTTTAAGATATTGGGATCAAGATTGATATTCAGCACTCCTAATAATTAGCTGCCATAAATCAAAGGCAATACCAGTTTTGAATTGATTTAGCTTTATGTCTTCTTTTTCTCAACAGTCGCTGAACGATGTGTGTGTGAGAGGTGGTAGACTGTCACACTGCCTGGCTGCTCTCAACAGCCATCACAGTGCCAACAATGCTTTATTCATCAAAGAAATAAATGACGGCTGGGAAGGCCTTGGCAAGACCATGTCTGTGGCCTCTGCAGCTGTCAGGGCTCACATGATGACGCTGCTGCAAGAAGCCACAAAAATAAGCATTGCGTCTACTGAACATGAGCTTCCTGATTCTGGCCCACATTTGCACATGGATAAGGTGAACTGAAACTCCCTATGTCCATTAGAAGCAGTTCTTGCAATACTTAGGCAATCAAGTATTTTAATGGTCTGTAAATGTTGCATTTAAGCCAATTAGAATTTGGTGCGTGAAAAGGCTGTGTAAACAATTGCAGGACAGGATTAAACTGGCAGCATAATTTCAAAGGATGTTTCTTGCAATAATATGAAGTTGAATGTCAATATACCGGTACTCATTTTATGTACATCATTTTGAACAAACATATTCAGGATGAAGTACCATTGCATATCTCATTAGTCTCCTACATCTTGATAGTGAGTTCTGATTTAATGTTCGTCTAGTGATTTTCTCTTAATTTTACTTTTATTCTCTCTAGTTGTACTTACATGACTGGAATATGGAACAGTGTAAATTTGATTAGCCCAATTTATGTGATTAGTTTCCTATAAATAAATGATAATAAGTCCGTTAATGAATCATTGTTTTTACAGCTTGTCTCCCTGCTGTGCTCGAGTTTCTTGTCTCTACAATGTCAATCTTCTGGGGCAATTTTGGAAGCCTTCTCTCCATTTTCTTCCATGGTCCTGCCCATCACTCCAATCTCCTCAATGGATCACTCACCTCCTCTGTCTCAATATTCGACCCCTGCAACTCCTCCCCACTTCTCATCACTGTTAACGCCACCGCCGTCAGCGTCGAGTTCAGTCAGTAATTTTGTTGTTGGTAACTACATGGGACCATCGGCTCCTTTCAGTTACCATGGAGGTAGACTCAGGACCCGCACTCTGTCTGCCAATCAGCTCAACCCTGCAGGGGTGAGTGTTCAACATCATAACCTTCTTACTCCCAGCTACTCGGCTAGCTCTTCAACTGATTGTACATTTAGACGCTGGTCTATGGGAGCCAATGAGAGCCACAGTGGTGGCACAACCACCGAAACATCTCGTGCAAGTGTGGATGAAGGAAACGCAAAATCCAAAGATGGTCTGTCTGGCCCAGGTCCACCTCGTCGTTGGTCAGTACCTGAAACCAAACATCATCATTCACCACACTCTGTGTCCGGTCTTGGCCGTACTGGATCTGACATCAACCCATGGTATGGTTTTTGGCCCGCATTGCCTCCCAATCCCGTGTCTGGAGTGACCGCTGTTGGCACCTGCGCACCAAGTGTGGCAACTTCTTCTGGCGTTGTTACGACCAAAAGCCCTGCAGCCGCTGGTAAAGGCGACAACTCTCTCAAGCCTGATTTCGGCGACGGTGACGCCAGCGCCCGCCGCTTAAGTGTCCCGGGTGCTGCTGCCGCCTCGAGAGAGAGTAGTCTTGGCGGCACCAGGAGCAACAGTCACTCTCGCTCTGCCACCCCGGGTAATATTTCTACTATTGATTCATAACAAGTCCTCTTAATTCATAACAAGTCCTCTTGATTCATAACAAGTCCTCTTGATTCCCAAGTACATCAGCATCTGCTAGTTTCATTTGCTATATTAGCATTTTATGCGTTTGTCTTTTGAAAGCAGAAGTTAGTTCCTACTAAACCATACCTAAATTGATATCAAAGATGAAAACGATTGTTTGTGCTATAAAAAGGGACCCAGGGTTACTTAGATACATGGATTTTCTTGGTATGATGTTTTGAAGAATGCTCAAGTTACATTAATTTATTTGTCACAAAGCATTGATGCCTGCATTTTGCTAAATTCTTTTTATATGTCGTTTTCCAGATCTGTCAAAACTTTACCAGTTGATAACGTCTGACGAGCTCGAAGATGTTGTTGAGATGCTCAGTGGCTGCTTGAGGCCTTCAACTTCTCCTTGCAGTCGGAGCAGGAAAAGTTACAGTTCTTCTTTCAAGAATCTTGTTGCCCATGCAAAACCTCCTAAACTTTGCCCGGAAACTAAAAACATTGACTGCAAGAAAGCAGTTACGTCGTCTGCTCCTATCAATGTTGGCAAAGAAGAAGATGTCAAGGTAGAACCTGCGTCTGGATCTCCTGCTGCAAGCTCGTCTCCAGGAACTAGCATCACTGTCTCAACAAACACGTTTCACCGGTGCAGACATCATTGTTCTCGCTCCTCATCATCTTCACACCACCATCATTATGCATGTCCTAAGCGCAAAACTTCAAGCAGTGAATCTGAATATGTGGATCAATCCTCCAGCAAACAGGAGAGCAATGCAAGTGAATCCGATCCTGTGACTCAGAAGCCTCGAGATGACACTAATGTCACTAAAATAAGAACTCCTTCCTGTCAGGCGTCGATGCTGAGCAGTGCCAGCAGCAGTGGCAGTAAGAAGCCAGGAGCTGCATATAAAAGCATGGCTCCTGTTAGCAAAGCCTCCAAATTGACATCCGTGCCTGGCTATTCGACTCAACATCGACCGCGGTCTCCATATCACCATTATCCAGTCACTGTGCCTGCGCTCCAAAAACAGCAATATCAGCAGTTCCACCAACAAATGCAGCTACAGCAGCTGTTGCTACAACAGCAACTTCACAGTAACGCTTATAACCAGCTCTCTTCAGTGACTCCAAGCATACTGAAGCAACAACAATATTTCAGCTTATTGCAGCAACAATACTATCAACAGCAATATCAGCAGAAACAGCCTCACTTCCAAATGCAACAGTTACAGCAAATGAAGCTTAATCAAATGTTGCTTTTGCAACAACAGCAGCAGCAACAGCAACAACACCGCGTGTTGCAACAACATCGTAAAAATTCTTTGCAAAACCTGTCGAGTTACGCGCCTGAGGTTGGCGCGGCGCTCTTCACAGACCGCCTTATGGACGACGGTGCTGGTGGAGGAACCCGACGGGGGAGCGGCAACACCACATCAGGAATCACAGCCTCCAGGACTCCTGTCATACACGAGACTACTCTTGAGGCCATGGACTCTGCTGAAGGGGCTGGCCGGCTGCCTTCTGACTCGAGGTCAGCCCGATCGAATGTTCTTTACTAAACCTTTACCAATACCTCTATTCACCGTTCACGGGACTAAACTCAAGGTATGACATTGACGTTAGAAACTTGCCACCTTGCAGCAGTTGTACACAGCGGCAAGAATGTTGTTTTCGCCGCATAAGACTATTTGTGAAGCGGCCGCTTCAAAATCGAAGCCAATGGCTGTAGTTTATGTACGTGAACACCCCATGTTATTCTATTGGGATGAAGAAAGTGACATCAGTTGCCTAATAATTTTGTACCGTCATCAACTTTTCTGATTGAAAAAAAACAATGTTATTGAAAAATATTTGTTCCTCCTTCTACCAATGATATGATCTGCTTTTTTCCGACTAATTGATCAAGTAAGATTTTTGTTAAAAATGTGAAAATTAAATGTAAAATGGCCCCGGTATTAGACGCATCAATAGCAAGCGCTGTTGAGAACGAGCGACTGTTGTGTTTTCTGTGTAACTATAATAAATCTGTACTGAACATCTGAATCACCGCACAAGATTTTTCCGACCAATAATTATATTGATAAGTTGTCTGCTAAGAAATTCCCCTATAAAGTTCCTCCACTTATCCTGTTGGGGTGAGATCCTAGAGATCCTCTTATTCTCTGAGATACGTACTTTTATCCTCTCTTGGTAATCCTCTAGAAAAGATTGCGATGCAAAAATTATAACTAGATCACTGAGAACATATTGCTTTTATTCGGCCATAGTAAATTTAGTTTTTTGTTCAGCTCAAATTTTTAATGCCACTTACTTGAAATACTGAATTTTTATGTTACTTATTATTCCTGGCGCTGCACAACTTGAGCAACGATTATTTCTTCTAACAAGCGAGTGTTCCTCCACAGGATCGGCATGCCCCGTTTCCCTGAAGGTGTGCAGAACCCACAACAGCGCGGTGGTGCGTTTGGTCGTGACGCCGCCGAAGATCGCCCAAGCGACGGCCTCCCCAACCGACAACACGCCATACGCATCCCTGATGCCATCACGACCAGCACACCTCTGTGGCCGCCCTCGGGATCTGTGCCTGGTTAGAGTCAGCCTATACCATATGGGATGTCTGTATTTGTTCAAGAAGGCTTTATTGATATTTCCTAAGTCGCTACTATCCAGTATTGTTGCATTTAGAAGTTCAAAACCATAACATCAATTTAATGCATTTGTAAGTTTAGTGGCGAATGAAATTTCTTTGCTGACATGTCTTATCAAGCCGTGTAAGTAGACTAGTAAGTATCATGGATACCAGCATTACCATACATGAAAAACTGAATGAAATCTTGAAATTGATTAGGAAATATGAAATGAACTGGTTTCTGAAAATCTTGTATGCCAAGATGACTGTGTCAGCATATCATTCAGGGGCTAAAGCTGCTCAAAGTTTTCCAAGTAATGACCAGACTGTGCCCATACTTCGAAAAAAGTTAAGAGATCATAAGTTCATCAGCCAATCATTGGCGGCCTAGCAAGCAAAATCCACCAATCATAGACGAGAAAATAGAGCGTAAGTACTTGCGTTCACTTAGCGAATTTTGAAAGTATGGCCCCGGTTTTTTTGTAATTTTGCTCTTGACTTGCACATTTATTTATGAATGACAAAATCTAATCACATGTAATTTATTTTAAATATCTTGTACATAATTAAGACCGATTATATATGAAATCTAACATTCATATGATGCCATAGTCATATGTGATGCCATAGCTTGCTCATGTTTGACGGTTTAACAGTTTAATTTTCTATAATAAAAAAAACATGAAAGTGTATAAGAGAATTTTCGACACACTAGATATGCACTACAGGGTTTATGTAAGTTGTGTGCTGAACTTATGTGTCCATAGAAGTTGTGTGTTGAACACACGCCTCCATTGAAGTTGTGTGTCATCAGGCGTGACGCTGACCGAGTGCACTGAAGAGTTCAAGCAGCTGCCGCAGCCTGCCGACCTGCCCTCGTCTGCCTGGCCCTCCGCTGCTGCTCCTCCAGGTTCTGGTCGCCAGAATTTCTTGATTGATTGTGTGCCACGTTTGCGGTGACACGAATGTTTACTGTATGAGATACTAGTTCAACTCTGTTGGTTTTTCGTATACGTCGAGGAATTGTCTTGATTGTGTGCCACTTTTTCTGTGACACAAATGTTTACTGTATGAGATAGTTCAACTCTGGTTGTTTTTTGTATACGTCGAGGAACTGGGAAAATTTAGGTGAACTCTGCCATCCTAGTTCTATCCCATCATAGAGAGTGCCAGTGCCTCCATCTTTTTGCCTACAACTTCGGTCACCCAAGTGGGTTTGGCGTGAATTTGACATCTCATTTATTTTCCTCATTCTCTGAATGTCAAAAACATTAAAACTTCCATGAAATCTTGATGCGTCACTTATAAAATGTGATGCATTTCATAAGTGAGATTCAATTACTTCATTACGATTAACTGAGTTCTTAACTGATGTTTTTTTTTTAGTTTTTGTATTCTGGAATTATTGTTTATGTACACAATTTTGAATCAAATTGTTCATTTATGCAGATTCAACTTTGCCAGAAATGCGAGATGCTTCTAGTCGTGCTTCCTGGCCTTTCGGACATTCCTTGTGAGTTGGTAATCCTCATTTCTTAGAGCTTTTCATTAACAAGCGGGTTTGTTTCTCTGATATTTCGCGCAAGCCTTTGTATTTAAACTGCATAAAAATTAGTTTAGGTGAACTGAATTCCTGAACATTCCTGAAAATTTTTGATTGATTGCTGGCTTACAGTTTGGAGGAACAGGTTCATTGTTCAATGCCCTTCTGTTTTATGGCTCGTTCTTCACAGGTGGGGCAGCGGATTCTCTCTGGGCGGGCTCATCTCTGACTCGTCTACTCAAGGCCATAGTGGAGGTAGCGGGTCCTTCTCAAGTTCCTCAGCTGCCAGGCAACTGCAGCCACAACCTTTCCCGAGACGCCACAGCGACACTTCTTCCTTCGGTCCCTACCACTCACAGCAGCAACAAGCTGCTGGCTACCAACAGTCGCTTAAGCAGCCGTCGGTTGGCGACACACATCAGCAACAGCAGCAGTATCTGTTCAATCAACAGTTCCCGCAACAACAACAGACACAACAACGGCAGTATCCGCCTCTCAGGCCTCTTTCTCCAGGCCGGAACAGCAGAAGCTCCGACCATTTGCACCATCTTCATCTAGTAAGTTACTTTTTATCCAGCAGCATCTAACTTGTTTTGGTGTCCTACTTACATCTGATGTGATGCCTGTCTAGAGACTGGACCTGGTGAGATAACCGATGCTTGTATATAAAGTGTACTTACTCTTATTGTACCTGATGACCTTTATTTGTTGGCTAGAAAAATAGTATTTATTTCAGCACCAAGTGAAGTAAAGATTTGCTTCCTGCTCCAGATTTGTTAGCAACTCCTGGAACTTTTGACTCTTCAACTCCATTTTTTGACTGTTTTGAAACTTTTTACATGTGAAAATTTGAAACTGTGTCTGTTTGGTTTGAATAGACACTGAAAAAATAGGATGAAAAATCAACTAATTACTAATTATGATTTTTGATTTCCTGATCTAAAAGTTCTCGCCATGACAGACTGGTGAGGCTGGCGAAGGAGACATTGCCCCCGGGAGTGGAAGTGGACTTTTGGACGCTAACTTGGAGGCCCTTTTGTCCTTAGGAAGTCTGCTCCCCAGTAGCAGCCCGCCATCCCCTACGTCTCACTACTCTCTCTTCAGCCACAGGACATAAGCCAACCTTCTCTTGTTCGTAGCGTCTCTCACATACAGTGAATAGATCAATTTATTTAACACAGGCCTAGATTTACTCAAGCTTGGCGAAACTATTCAATTTTTATAATTCGTTTTTTTCCTTAACCTGTGGGGACTAATGGTTAAGCCAAATTATGCCCAGATTTAAACTTCTTTTTCAGGTTCACAAAAAATTTTTCTTGTCATTATGATTAAATCTACAATTGTTAAGTAATCTTGCTACGTTTCTATTATTTTTGCTGAATCAGTTATGACGGATTTCCTGTATTTGTGAATTACATCAATTGCAATTTAGAAGACCCGAGAATGTCTTACTGGAAAAAAGTTATGTTTTCGTTAATATTATCCCTCTCCACTCTGCCAACTAACATGCATTTCTCGATACTCGTGTGTTTCGAGTAGCCTTTAAGCTGTAGGAGTTCACCTTCGTAATTAATACAATCAATGTCCACATGATAAGCCTGTTTCATATGGCAATCTAGCAATAATGGGAAAATTTGATTTTAATTCAACTTGATGTTTGCCGTCAATTGATCGAAGATGGTCGTAATTCTTCAGATGCCCCCGGAAGTTTTAGTTTATCCTGCTTCGGGCCAAAATTCATAATGGATTGTACACAAACTGTTATCTGCGTAAGGATATTCTTGAAATAACTTGGGCATTTGCCAGAGGAGTTCATTTGTTCTTGATTGTGTTTATTAGGTTAAGAGAGTATTTCAATTTGTAAATGTACGAATTATACCTGTTATTCGATTCTCGTCGTGATTGAACACCGGATTTCTGTTGCTATATTCATCTTCAAAACTAACGGATTTAAGCTTATTTTGTGCGCACTGATATAATCGTTTCAAATCCACGTCGTGCTGCTGGAAATCTGTGTTAATTGTGTTTTCTTGGGCTGCACTTCTTACTGTAATTTTAATGCACTACCAAGCCACGTCATTTTCGTGGTGGGTTGCCTAGTGATGCTCCGGAAAAAGCGTTAGTGTCCCGGGCAGCAAGGCCACCCGCTGATCTAGGTTCATGTTCCTGATCAACTTTAGCCCTAAACTTAACGTTTCTTTATATAGAAAATTTTTTTATGCACACTTTTTCTTCCTATGTTTTAGTAGGAAAAATCTGGATTTCAAACCTTATTGTTATTGAAATTGTTCCCAGTAACTTTGTGTTCAGCTTTGTGTTGATTTCCCATTATTTTATCAGCTTACTTCGGCTAGACATTATTCCCTTGCTTAATTATTGCTGGAAGTCCCATCGGATAAGTTTGTTTTAGTTTGCTAGTCTCTACGCCTAGCTAATTTGTAAGCCTTACTTTCTCTAGTCGTTGTATGTACGGAAGATTATTTGTTAATTGTTAGCACGCTCATGTAAGTTGCTGTTGAGCAGTGTGTATGTTTTCTCAAATTTCAACGAATTAGTTTAGCACTGTTTCGTGTTTGTTCCTGTTATGTTTTCAGGCATTCTACTGACTGATTGTCGATGCCATATTTTATCATTTGGTTCATAGAACTGATGTAATCTTAGATTATTCGTATGTTATGGAGTGTCGGTGTTTCGTGCATTCATAGTAATAGCTATCTCTCTGACAACATTTGTTAATGGTGCTTCATGTGTTACAAATTTTTCTCTAGTAATCTGAAACCCCCGATCTTTTCGAGCTTATCAATGGATGGAAGTTGGAAATGTTTTTCACACTCGATTTATTTTGCTTGATTCATTATGGCTTGAGAAATAGATTATCAATTAGGCTTGTCTGTTCAATTATCATAAGTTCGAAGTGCATTTTGAGACGCAATTTGTTACCATCAGAGTAATTGTGAAATTTTGTATCGATATACCGCGTATTGCAAAGTTAATCCTAAAAATGTGAGCGGTCGAAACTCGAAACTTCTAACAATATTTTTTTATTTGCGAAGTTTGAGCTTGAACATTTTCCAATAATTCGTCAGCATTCTTTGTTCCTAAGTAGTAATTTAGAATGAATTATCTGATATTTACCTCAAGCTACTGTACGCCAAGCGGCGATCATTGTGTATTTCTCTAAGAACTGATAAGCAAAATTTATTTGCTCTTTAAGTGGTCGATACATGATATTATTATTAATAATAAAATTATCACTTTCCATGTAGAATCTTTTCGTAGCCTTTACTTTAGAGTTTATCCGCCCAAATTATTTCTTAAAATAATTTACTGAATAGCAAATATTGTTCTACAAGTTTCTGAAAATTTTATGTCTCGGGTAGGTAGTTGTGTTGATGTCTGTACATTTCGTTTATTTATACCTCAACTGTCTTATGCCGGCTTAACGCAAAACTTTGTCTTCTGTTTGCTCGTCCTCTGTATATCTAGCGCTCGTTTATATTGTTTGCCTTCGGCATGACGGCAATAGAGCCCAAACTTGTTAGCTTAGCGAGCAATGAAAATTGAATTGGCATCTGGCACCGATTTTTAGCCTTTGCAATGAATTCTTGTTTACTTGCTTTAATGTTTCCATAGCTATGCCCTTTCGCTATACTTCGCTTGAACAGCATTGGCTGTTTGTATCAGCTCCTGGAGAGCTACAGCCATTAGTATTGCTTCTCATAGCTTAGTTGCCATGTCTCAAATTATTCTACTTGTAAGGTCAATGTTGTCGCTGTGTTAACGGAAACTGTATTACTAGTAGTTTAGAACTTGGAACAATTCTGATTCTTGATTGTTGTGTCAGAAAGTCTATAGCGTAGCGTTGCAAATATTTTGCATAGCAGCAACACAATTGTTTATACGTATATTAGTTGTATCTTTAGAAGTTAGAGGGAGAAATCTCAGCTACTGGATGTTAACCCGCTCAAGCATTAATGTCGTGGGCAAAAAACTTACAGCAATCGTTTTACTAATCGGATCCTGGCATTATTTCACTCTTTGTCTAGGGATACATTAACCGTCGTCTATGCTATTTGTACCTCAAGGCCTGGGACAGAGAAGTCCCGTCAGAACACAAAGGGTTAAAAGCGGGATTCTTACATTAAAGTTTAGTTAGCTGATTAGTCCGACTCATCGTATTGGCGTTTTGCTATAAATTGCGAGTTAATAAAATTTAATCCGAAGCTAAAAGTTTATTAGGCAGGTCATATTTATAAGTCGAGCTTATATCATATCGAAGAAGTAACCATAGATGTTGTTCATATATACTCGCCCATAGTTATGATTTTTGAACTTATTGAAGCTAGGGAGATGAATGTATTACTCTCTTATTCATACTATTATATTTTTTTAGTCCCTGGCTGTTCTAAATTTAACTTTTTGTAAATTTAAGTCACGAATTATTAGCCTTTCAAAGTGAATGTTAATTTAAGGTATACACCATCAGGCGAGCACCACACAGTGACTTCTAGCCTTTCGCATCGCACTAAATCTTGCGTTTATTTGTACATGTAAAATTTTTCTCGGTTTTTAACTCATATATTGTATTACTTTCTGTCTTTGTTGTGCTACTCTAGCTCATTCAATAGTTTCTGCTCTCTCTAATACGTTAAATAATCCAAGTGATTAACGTACGAGTATTTAATGCTCTGGGTTAGAGCATCTCATTACAAGCACTCCCCATTGAACATCAAAGACTTATATTGAGCTCATCATAAACTCTATGGATGCATTTTTGGGATGTCTTTCTGAGGGTATTAACAGTTCATCCTTTTGAACATCAATATTATTAAGTAAAAGTTATTAGATTTTTCTTTCTTTAGATTGCATGTGGATTGTGGAAAAATAACTATTAAATGGATTACTACAAGCATGATCGTGATTTATATTGAAAGGGATTTATCTTCACCCCTTTTCAATAATTAATCACTTCTTTTCATTTGACATGATAAAATTCTATGCTCTCATGAAAACAAGTCTTTAGACTGTCGTGCGACTACATGATAAATTTCATGCTTGGAAATTTAAAGCATTTTCTGCTAATTTGTAATTTTATGTCACGAAATAGGTTGGCTTGTAATTAAGTATGTTGTCCGTCACATCTAAGATTTTCTTCACTCTTATTGCCTGTGCTTGCTAATGCAGCACTAAGATAGTAATAATCGTCATGTTATTTAATATCGCCGTACCTGTAGTCAACTTCGAGGTCTTGTCGTGCAGCTGGAACTGTAGTAGAGGAGCCTTCATGATGTCCCCATGTATTCAAGAGGTTAACAATTCTCGCTCTACGAGCGTTCTTTATCTGGGATCCTTTTCTTGCATACTATTCCTTAAGCGATGTTTGCTAGGCTTCTTACTTGTTAATGTTGAATGTGATTTGTTCTATAGTTTTTTTTTCACTTTTTGAAGACTTCGAATACATTGAAATTTATTCAGTATTAGTAAAGTCTGCCGAGATTCGAAAGTTTCAGCCTAGGAACACTAAAAATTATTGAAGGGTTTTGTTCACTACCCTCAAGTTTCATGCCAAGAGGTTTCAGTAAGTGTAAAAGATTTTGGGAGCTGCGAATCTAATTCTGTTATTAGCAATGCAGATATCATGATTTAAATTGGTTCTGTTGTTAGTATTCGTCATTTGAATTATTATTTAATGCATGTTCTTCATCAAGAGGGCTGTATTGTTATTGGTGTCGCGCATTCGTTGTATGTATTTGATGTGTAATTCTTGCTGGCGTTTGTACATATTATTGCCAATCTTGGTAAACGTATTCATTCATACTAACTCTACTATCTGTCTTCGTTTCGTTATAATTCGACCACGAATTTAGTTGCTCGGGGAGATAAAAGCAACCCACACCCCCAACGTTTCACGCCTGACCGATGTATAGTTCAGTACTTCTAAAGAAACGTTCCAAGCCTATACTTCACTGTGATCGAATTTCCCAAGGAAAAAGATGAAGACCAAGATATTTTCCCCCAAAGAAGAATATCTTGCTGGTACATCAGAAACAGAGGGTTGCTAGTGTCGAATGCGATGCCCTATATAGCTGCTAGAAGTTCTCGAGACAGTCACCTTGACGTTCGTTGCCATGGAATTTTATTTGCGGTTTATGTTTACGAATCGGGAAGTTTATGTTTTGCATTTTGAGCTGTGACTGAATTTCCTTTCGTGCGGTCAAAAATTTATTATTATCACCATGTTATGTTAATGTTAATTAACATTATATTAATAATATGTTAACCCTTCAATACAATAAACTCGTTTTTCATTCCCACAGTCTACTATTAAATTTTGCTCTTCATAGTTCCCTGAGAATATTTTCTTCCCTTGCCTGCGAGCAATAATATTTCCCATTATAAACCCTCGAGCTCTCATAGTTGTGAACTTGATAAGCTTCGCTGTGTTAATGTTACAGTTGCAAAGCAACGTTATTGTAAGCAATAGCGATCGTCATCAGTAATAGTGAAATAGTTATTCTATCTACAAATATCTTTCGACTAGATATTGTAGAAACGCATTATCTTAGAGAAAGTTATAGCCATCCTTAGCCAAGTTAATCGTCTCACAATTAGTATTCGCAGCTGGCACTGTTCACTCTCCAATTTTCAATAGCATCACTTAGCAATGGATTGTCCAATAGTTTGTCGTGGTAGCTTTGTATTTCTTAGTGTCTGTCATGAAATTAGCATTAACTGTTGCATTTAATCTGCTGAAATATAGTGTGCTTAGAGCAGCATTGGACGTTGTGCTGTAGTGTAGCTCATGTGAGCGCGATACTGTCTCTTCATCGTTGTCTGAGGTGACACGGTTGTTGCGTCGCCCATATTTCCATCCATTTAAAAATTCACGTGCAACACTTATTTGTGTTGAAGTTACTATCAAATGTTTAGCAACACTTATTTGTGTTGAAGTTACCATCAAATGTTTATTCTCTTTATGTCTTATTGGAAGAAAAAATTTTTATTTATGGATTGACAGTGTATTCTTTAAAACGAGATCGTTTGAAACTCTCGATTGCTTAATGTTGGCCGAAATAATGTTGTTTTACTGTTACATGGAACTTTAGAATAATTCATATGGAGAGAGGGATATCAATGCAATTAATTTTTTGGTGTAATTGATAGTAATTTCCTAATTATGGATAAATTTCCTTTGTGTCTGGATTTTCTATAACAGAATGTTGTAACCATCGGTGTGATTTTCCATGTTTCTACCTAGCATAAATTCACGTGATTCCTATCTAATCAGGCACATAGTTTCGTGTAATTAATCCCGTAATTTGTAATCCAGCTACACAGAGTTGTGCCAGCTATTTGGGTTCAATTTTTACACTCTGGACTTTAAAATAAGTAATTGTTTTTTTTATATATTTCACGCGGTATTTTGAGTATTTTAGTTAAAAACTAAACTAATACATTAGTTTGGTTAAAGAAGTCCTATGACTGACACGCTAGGTTTAAACGTTTCATATTTATTTCTGAAACTATTACGAATTGATGCTAGAATGTCTTATTCATATAATGGAAACCATCACTGCTATGTTTGCTTCTTGAGAGTATACTTTTTATTTTCAGTTCTTCCTCTCACGATTTATGTGT